TAAACTTTTCTAATATGAATTCTCAAAGAAGTTCCTTGAAAGACTTGCTAATGGGAATGAGTCCTATATGCTTTCTTGATTAATCTTTGATAAAGTTCAAAGTTAAGAACAATCAATATGTAACACCTTTATTTAGTTTAAAGCAATGTTGTGCATACAAACATATTAATCAAGATTATTCCCTTTAACACACACAACCAAGATATTACTCAAAGTAAAAGATAAGGGTAAGAGAAGATTGCACAAGTCTTTTATCCTGGTTCAGCCACTCCACATGTGACCTACATCTAGTCCTCAATCATAACCTGATCAAGATTTGTTCCACTATATCAATGAAGAAGTTTTATAAGCATACCACACATGCATATACTCCTACATTCAATATAACCACTTTCTTGACCCCAAAAAAGCACTTCTTGTAGAAACCCACTACAAGAATTCCTTACCACTTGAGACACCTACTGAAGATTTACAATTATTCACAAAGAATTAAAGGAACAAATTCACCTGAAAGTTGAACAAATCAAACTGTGAATTCAGAAGCAAATCTCAATCTTTCTCTTCCAAGAATGTGATGATGATGATGATCTTTTTCAAAGCATTTCAAAAAAACGTTTTACTTCTTGGTTTCACAAAGAAAACACTCCAAGAAGGTCACAAAGACTTCATAATAACGTTTTTCTCTTTTTCATTGTTAACTCATTCTCTGTTTTGAAGTTTCAAAGTGTGAAAACTATTTATAACATTTTCAGAACCAGATAATCGATTATTTTAAAGGATAATCGATTATTTTGTTCTTCAGGATTTCTAGAAATCAACCAAGAACAGAATAATCGATTATTTTGCAGGATAATCGATTATTCCAGAGAGTGCTTCCTGAGATAATCGATTATTTCACAAATAATCGATTATTACAACAAGGCATCCTTTTCACTTGTTGCTGGAATAATCGATTATGTTTAATGATAATTGATTATTTTGAGTCAGTTTTCAAAAACTCTATTTTATATCTCAAAATAACTTTTCAAGTATCTAACTCATCATCATACTCATTCTTAGTCAGATTAGATTAAGATTGACTTATGCACAAAGCACACACATGCAAAATAGGCTAAAAACAATACAACTTATGAGCTATCCCTATTTCACATCATAGTAGCCATATTTTCTTCTTGACTTTGTTTTTGACTTGTTGATGTCCTTGGTCAACTTTGATTCTCAGAATCCACATTTTGTTATCATCAAAACCTTCATTCTCCAAGTTTGAGTTGATTCACCACTCCATGAATCTCAACATGTAACATCTTATTTTTCACAAAATATAATATACCTATTTAATAAATATTTTTAGTATTTTTGTTTTAATTAATGAAGCTATTTAGTATTTATTTTAATTATTTGATATGTTTTAGAATATAACATAAGATAATTTAATTAAATATTTTGTTTAATTAATTGGTGAAGGGAATTAGTAACCATGATTAAGTAAATTTTGCCTAAGGGTTAAGGGAAGGGAAGTTAAGTTTTTTTTTAATGAAGTATTTGATTAGTTGTCATTTTATGCATTTTTTTACGTACACACTTGTTCACGCTTTAGAACTCGGAGAATAGGAGCAAGAAGGAAACCATCCCAAGAGCGTGCATATGTCTTCTTTTGTGTACCAAGGTAAGGGGAGTGATAAAATTTGCTCTGGATGTGAGTTTGTATATTGGATAAAGGGATTGATCTCCAATCTCATCTCCATTAATTATTTGTGCATGAAAGGTTTTCACCAATTCCACTATTTCGCTTCTATGTTTCTTCTTGTACATAACTAATGACATGAATTATTTGATTGTACGATTAATTGCATGTTTTGGTTGATAATTGCAAGATTTGAGGCCCCTATGAGAAACACTAAGGAAACTTGTTGTGATAGTTGTATGAAGATATTGATTAATATGCGTAAATTTAATGATTTGGAATGTTAATTGCATGTTATAAAAACACTTTTATCAATTGTATGAGTTTATGCATGTAATTGGATGTGGACAACTTGTTGTCACTAAGGAGACATGATTTTTAGGGAAGAAGATTACATTCTTGCTCAATGAGATGTTAGTCACTTAACGAGAAGCTTTAGAGAGCTCAACTCGCTTAGTGACGTGTTAGTTGCTTAACGAGAGGCTCCAAAGAGCTCGGCTCACTCAGGGAGGTAACATTCACTCAACTACTATTAGATGATTATTTTACTCTTGTGATCTTGATGCTACCTTTTTACTAATATCTAGTTAATGTATTTGAGAATGTACATGAGATATATGATGTGATATGAGGAATATGTGATATGTGAGATGAGATCATATGCATGTTATTGCATTGAGTCTATTTGACATGCATCATTTGCATAAAATGTATTTTTTGGGTACGATATGGAATACATCGCTAAGAAATACCCTTTGTGTAAAAGCTTTGGGATCAACGTTGGGGATATTTCGGTTTGGGAAGTCCCAGTCCTATCCTCATGTGCATGGAATGTATCTTATATGACTTAGCTATCCCAACCAGACCTTAGTAGTATGTCCTCCTAGTGAGAGTGCGGAAGGGTGTGACTCATCATGTACTCCTAGACTATTCTATGTGTATTACTAACAACAATGCATAAATGTGATGTTTTTGTTGGTGCCACATGCATGATAAAATGTAGTCTGTGTCCATTGTATAAGGCACTATAATGTATTATTATTGATTAGTGTGCTATGAATGAACCAGGTGTGAGGATGATAATGATCTATGTATGTTATATCTTGTGGTATGTTGTTTATGCATGACTATTCAGTTGCTTTCTTGTACTACGAGCCAGAGTGAAATGTTTCTCACTCCCTTGTTTTTTGTTGTTGTTGTTCTTGTGGTTTATGCAGATGATCATCATTTTAATGTTATAGGTGTTGGTGATAAGGTTTAGCCTTCATGTTGGATTGCTTTGATAAAACATGTGACATCAGGACATAGTTAGAACTAGATTAGGGGTCTTTTTCATATTGTTTAGTCGGAGGACTATGATCTTAATTTCCTTGTAATTCAGTTATTTCTGTTATGTTTTTTTAGTTAAGTTATAATGTAATTCTCTTTATTATATGAATTTTAGTTCTTTATGTTATTAGGTATTTTCAGTTTATTTTCTTTAATTATGTATTATGGTATGTAAGGTAGAAGGTGTCACAAATCCTTTCTCAACTCTTAGGTTTGTTCTTATATGTTTTCTTGTTTCTTTTAGGAGAACTACTACATGTATGAGTAGTCTCCTTTTATTTTGTGAGTGAGGCTTAATCCTTGAAAACCTTTAATGTTCAATCATATCTTTCAATTGTTTTATCTATTTTCTCCTCTTGATCTAGTTTTTAGTAATTTATATATGTGAAAGGTGTTATGTCGTTTTACACAATTTTAAACATTGTAAAGAGTAATTGAAAGGTGAACCTAAATGTTGGAACCCTAAGATTTTTCTTAGGTATTAAATCACAACAATATATTTAATCCTTCAAAGATCAAATGAATAAACATAAATCATTATAAGTTTAATAGAACATAACTATCGCGATAGTAAAGTTCAATTCAATTAGATACACCTTTGTATCTAAAAAAGAAATGGAGAATGCCTTATGTTAATTCACCTTCAAAAAGATGGTTTGTAAAACACCAATTGAAACGATTAAGCAAATAAAAACTCATTGTGTGAACTCTAATCGTAGAATGTTTTCTAATAATTATCCAACTCAATGTGTTATCTTGCTCATTTAAAACCTCTAATTTTATCTTCTTTAAATCATCTATTCAAATCTTAAATTCAAGTTCCCCTATTTATCTAATTTTAATTAATTTTGATGATTACACAAGTCAAAACGCAACCCATATGGATTCTATAATCTAATTACTTAATGATATCTATGCGCTTGCAGATTTTGCTCATCAATACGCTTCCAAGGATGTCCCTTAATGATATCTTAGTGGTCTTATTACTTGGGCCTTGAGGACAACAAAGCTTGGGAGCCCTAGTCTCATCTATAAGGTGCATGAGGTGTAAGTTGTTGTAGCTTTGTTGGCCTAACACGCCATGGTGTATCTCCCCCCTTGCGAGAGTGCTAGGTGTCTAGCATCTTTGTTCGGGTGTCTGTCATTGACATGTATTACTAGACTACTTTCTTTGAGCTTTCGGGCGACAATTATAATTTTGAATGATACCAAGTGCATATAAAACTACTGAGTTATTACATTTTATATTTATCTTGTGAATATTAATGTGAAATGCTTATTGTGATTTATATGTATATATGTTCTTATGATTTGTTGTGGCTGTCTGACTTTATCTCACACCAAGAGTATGAGTGAGATGTATCTCACTCCTTTTTTTTATTGTTTATTTTTTTGTTTTGTTTGGGTTGGACACTACTTGCATGAGAGAATCATCCATAGGTTGGTGTTGGTGATGAGATCTATATTTCTTAAACTTGTGTGGGGATTACATTTTGATAGAGTGTGACATTGGAACTAAAACTTGTTTTCTTATATTTATGTTATGATTTAATTGTATAGATTTCATGGATTTTGTATGGCATTTGGAGTTTCAAGCATTATTTATCTTATTTGGTTCATTTATGAACTATATTATTAAAGGACTTTGACTATAATTAGCTTCAATTGAATAGCTTAAGAATGCGAATTCTCTACCATACAAAAATTAACTAATTGATTTTGTTTTTCAACTTAAATTAAATAACAAAAATCCTTTTATAAACTAAATATTTAAAAAAAATAAGAATATTTAAATTTTTTTTAATTAGAATGTTATTATTGGCATATTTAAAAAATGAGTTTGGTTGCATCGTAATATCCCTTGAGAAAAAAGTTACAAGTATAGAGAGAAAAGAAGAAGCCGGGAAAGGTGCGGAAATGAAAAAGGTTTAAACTGTGGCATAAAAGAAAAAAATAACCCTGAGGCTCCCGCTTCCATAAATACACCACAAACATAGCGAAACCCCACACAACACAACGCAACACTCTCTTCCAAAATACCCAGAGAGGCGTCTTAATAAACGCATCTCTGCCTCCGATCCCATCGCCCAAACATGAGAGAATGCATTTCCATCCACATTGGCCAGGCCGGCATTCAGGTCGGCAACGCCTGCTGGGAGCTTTACTGCCTCGAACACGGCATTCAGGTCTCTCTTTTCAAACCCTAATTTCTTCCGA